AGATTCTCTATGGGGTTCAGGTCAGGCGAGTTTGCTGGCCAATCAAGCACAGTAATCCTATGGTCATTGAACCAGGTTTTGGTACTTTTGGCAGTGTGGGCAGGTGCCAAGTCCTGCTGAAAAATGAAGTCAGCATCCCCATAAAGCTCGTCTGCAGAAGGAAGCATGAAGTGCTCCAAAATCTCCCGGTAGATGGCTGCATTGACCCTGGACTTAATGAAGCACAGTGGACCAACACCAGCAGATGACATGGCTCCCCAAATCAATACAGACTGTGGAAACTTCACACTGGACTTTAAGCATCTTGCAGTGTGTGCCTCTCCATTCTTCCTCCAGACTCTGGGTCCTTGGTTTCCAAATGAGATGCAAAAGTGGCTCTCATCAGAAAAGAGGACTTTGGACCACTGAGCAACAGACCAGTTCTTTTGTTCTTTAGCCCAGGTAAGATGCTTCTGACGATGTTTGTTGTTCAGGAACGGCTTGACAAGAGGAATACAACATTTGAAGCCCATGTCCAGGATCCGTCTGTGTGTGGTGGCTCTTGATGCACTGACTCCAGCCTCAGTCCACTCCTTGTGAAAGTCCCCAACACTTTTGAATAGCCTTTCCTCTCCAGGCTGCGGTCATCCCTGCTGTTTGTGCACATTTTTCTTCCACACTTTTCCCTTCCACATAACTTTCTATTAATGTGCTTTGATACAGCACTTTGGGAACATCCAACTTCTTTTGCAATTACCTTTTGAGGCTTTCCCTCCTTATGGAGGGTGTCAATGATGGTTTTCTGCACAACTGTCAGGTCAGCAGTCTTTCCCATGATTGTGATTCCTACTGAACCAGACTGAGAGACCATTTAAAGGCTCAGGAACCCTTTGCAGGTGTTATGGCTTACTTAGCTGATTAGAGTGGGACACTTTGAGCCTAGAATATTGAACCTTTTCACAATATTCTAATTTTCTGAGATTGTGAATTTGGGGTTTTCACGAGCTGTAAGCCATAATCATCAAAAGTATGACAAATCAAGGCTTGAACTATCTCGCTTTGCATGTAATGAGTCTATCTCATATATTAGTTTCACCTTTTAAGTTGCATTACTGAAATAAATGAACTTTTGCACGATATTCTAATTTTTCGAGTTTCACCTGTATTTCTTTCTTGATGGAAACTTTGTAACATTATCATAACAGCAGCAACAAAAGTAACATTACAGGTAAACATGCAAAAACATCCTTATTTCCATACTTCACAATTTATGGTTAACAATAACAATCATGTGTTTTAAAGCACAGCTTTTTGATTATGTACCATCAGATCACTTTGAATCTTACCATAGTGACCCTATAGATAGAATTTAAACAGATTTTAAAGCACAGCAACATTTATACTCAGTTCAGAGTTTTGCTTTCTAGGAGCCATAAACAAAATCTCTGGACAAAAATCCCAAACACAGATGATATGGGATTTTTCTTCAATTTAATCAACAAAGTATCTTGGAGGGGATCTGTTGCCTATTTATTTTATTTATTTACTAATGAATTATTCCTAATATGAATTATTAAATGAATATACTTTTGGCATATACAACATAGAATAACAATACAATATATATCTATTGAAATATGCAATGAATCAATCTATTTTTAAGCAAATATATACATTTAGAACAGGAACAGGAATTATCAACTTTTTCTTTGAAAGTGTTAAAAATGATAAAGGTCAGATACTTCCAAAATGGCAGAATGTGTGATTGGATTAAGAGTGCCAAACAATATCACTCAATGAAAAATAATTTTATTTTATTTCAACAACAAATATTATTTAAAACACTGATATTATTTAAAACACTGTCTCCTTCAAAACCCTTTCTGTCTCCTTCAATAGACTTTCAGGCCATCTGTCAGCAATATTTCTTTCAAGGAAGTTCTGTTTCACCTACAACAAAGATAAAATCCTGAACCTAGTCCAGAACTCAATTGAGACAAAATTTAACTGTTTGTCTGGGAAATGTTACTTTGACCATTTCCAATGTTTATTATCTTTTTGTTCTTTTATCATGTTTCTGTACATCAAGGCGGAGTTTATGTTCATATTAAAACAGAGTAATATGGGTGATTCCCAGTATTAAGTTCTTAAAAATGAACATAAAATTTCTTAGAGACCCAGCAAAACCTTTTGCAGGAAATAAATACTGAAAATAAAGATGGGGCCATATTTTTGGCAAATGTCTCAGCTTTATATTTTTTCTCAGGCCTTATTTTAACTTGACTCAGCCTTCCAAGATCAGTAAAATCAGTGGCCCATAAGAAGCCTGTACATTTTGCCCCATTGAAAACATACAGAAAAATAAAGTAAAATAGAAAAATTCTACAATTTGAAAATTAAATGTTCCTATTTATTTCTCTGTCCATGTACACATGTAGCTAAGAAGCTGTTTGTGAACTGATTAGCAAATGTTATTAACATGTGCCACATATTTAACCCATTAATAAATAAGAAACAGGACATCCCTCTCATTCTCTGGCTTCTTTAGGGTTAGGATTAGTCATAGTCCTATTAGCACATCTGAGCTATGATCACCAAGGTATGGATAGCTATCACTACACCCACTTGTAGGCAATACTAGCAGGTGTATGCAGTTGCAGTTGCTGATGAAATCAGCATATGTAAACCAGCTTCAAATTAAGGCAAGTCTAGGACATTATCCTAAAAAAACCCAGTGGTACTTACATATTCAAGCTGACTACATAAAAAGAGAGGAATTTCTTACTTGCAACTCAATCGGGGTTACAAGATACTAGACTATGTCTGAAAAATACTTTCAAGGTGATTGTTTTGTAGGCTGTTGTCATTATTATCAGAAAGAGGAGAGGTGGAGAAATCAGTTCCTTCTACGCTGATATATTAGAAACCTGTATACATGTTCCTGTTTACACGTTCCTTCTTAGGACAAACAAATCAGTTGTTAATACAAGGCTGATTCAGTCCTTTCTATAACAAATGTGCAAAAATATCAATCAACACTAAATAAGTTGGGATGTATCACCAAACTACATCCAGTAAATATATCCAATAAATGCAAACATTTCTATTCATAGCTGGAAGACTACAATGGAATTTCAAACAGTGAATTCCAAACTGATAAGCATCTGAATCTGGGTGGTGCATTTAACTAAAAAGTTTATTTTTATAAGAGTCCTTCCAGTACATATTTTACCTTAGATTTCTTTACTGTTGTATGGCACTGCTTTCATGCCTTCTGTTTCCTCTTTTCATTACACCCAAAACTTGCTAACACTATTTATGCAGATTGCAAGTAAACATCTGTCAAGAGAGGAAAGTTGGGAAAGAAGGCTAGGTACAAATAAAAGACCTACTACTGTCACTGGATCCATTTCAAATTTCATGCATTATCTGCATTTTGAAAGGAATATAGGATATATTCCAGCTTATTACGTGAGCAATGCTTAAGTGCTGAAGATACACGGAAACTTGAGCAGCTAAACGGAAGAACACACCCATAGTTGCAAGCAGTGTTTAATATTAACAGCAGCTAGGATTGAATTTATGAACATTCTGTAAAAGCATTTACAGGTAGTTCTCAATTTATGACAGCAATTGTGACCAGAATGTGTGTTGCTAAGAAAGGTGGTTATTAACTGAGACACACCTGTTTTTAATGATTTTGGCCACAGCTGTTAAGCAAATCACTGCAACTAAATGAATGATGCAGTCCTTAAGCAAACCCCACTTCCCTCATTGACTTTACTTGTCAGAAGCCAGCTGGGTGATGGTGATCACATGACCTTGGGATGCTGCAACTTTTGTAAATTCAAACTGGCTGCCAATTTTGATCATGTGACCATGACAATGCTGTGATGGGTGTAAGTGTGAGGATTGGTTGTAAGTGCAAAACTGATTATAAATCATTTTCTTCCATTTTAAAATGGTCATTAAACAAATTATTAAGTAGTGGACTACCTGTTTCCATATTCTTCACAAGCTCGAAGCTCTCTGAATGTATTATGACTTAACATAACTACTTCACATAAAATGCTTGGAAAACCATCTAAATTCTCTACAGCGTAAAGCTATGGTTAATGTAACTACTTGTGTTGGGCTGAACCCCCACTGATGTTGCTGGGACTCAAAATAAAAAGGCGTGTAAATTGTTTTTGTTAATCCAATTTATATAACTACTCATCTCCCCCAAAGGGGACTGTGGGTGGCGCACAACAATTAAGACTTTAAAGGCTGAAAACTCAGCAATTTTTTGTAGTGTCAGATAAACAGAACCACACACTGTTTACAAACTGGTTTAGATTTATGCCATCATGGAGAGGCGGAATCAGAATCATTTATTTACAGAAAGAGAGATTATCAGACTTGTTCATATTGTGCTTAGAAGTTCTGAAACTACAGTGAGAACTGCTAGCTTTTCAACTGACATCTGTAAAACTCCGTTTTGCCAGATAAAAACAGTTGCAAAAACCTACCAGAATCAAAATACAGGAAGAAGTGACACTTAAGCAAAAGAAAACCTAGATGTCAAAAAGCAGTTGCTGCCCGGGGTGCACCAGATATAAAAAAGTTGACAAACCAAACGAACAGTGAGATTGCATTTTCACAGGGATGGCACAGCTGGCAACATCCTTTGGGGCTGTGCCCAGGGGAAGAAGAGCGCTGACAACAAGCTCTCCTGTTGCCTTGACTCTCAGTTCATGACTTCCAAGCGAAGGGACGCCCCACGACTCTCTTGCAACACACCTGCTCAACAAGAGTGCAGCCTCCTGAACTGAGAAGCCTCGACCCTCCTTGTCCCGCAGGGGAAGGAAGGAAGGAAGGGGGGAAAAAAAGGGGGGGGTCCCTTTCAAGTCAGCCAAGCTTCGCGAACCGAGTGGGTGGTCACGGAGCGGCGCGCGCAAAGGGGCTTGGGGAGGGGGGTAGGCTACGTTCCACTCCCGCGTTCTTTGTTTTTCATTGGCTGCAAGCCCAGCCTCACTCACCCACAGTAGCCAAGGTCTCCAGGTCCTCAAGTCTATAAGCGGGGGAATCCGAGGCAGGCGGTGCGGGTGAGCCTCGGCTAGCTGGACCCGAAGAACAAATGGGTTGGGGTTCGCCGGTCCCTGCCGCCTCGCAGCCAACAGGGCTTCTGGCTCCTACTTTAGCCCGCACGGCGCTCAAAGTCTCCATAGGTGGGGAAGAGGTAGTAAAGGCTCCTCCTGTCAGGGCAAACTTGGGAGTCTCCGGAGGCGGCCTAGCCTCTTTCTCCTTTCAGCAGCTGCAGAGGTCCCGAGCCGGGGCTACTCCTTGGTTCCGTCTCTCAGCAGAGCGGCTGCCGGCGCTCCGCATCGCGCCAGAGCGCAGCTTCCTTCCTGCGGTGCTTCTGGTTTGCTTTGGGTGCAAGTAAGCGTCCGGGCGCGTCTCGCGGGGAAGGTCGTCGACGCTGCTGGCTTCGCTCCTCTCGCGCTTCCCGCCGGCGCCTCAATGCAGACAATGGGCTTGCCGGGAGGACGCCGAGTCTCATTCGCCAGTCAGCCGGTTGCACGCGGGGACGAGGGGGCGGGGTTTGGCTCCCTGCAGCTGCGGCAAGAACCCTGGAGTGGGCGGGGAGAAGAGCAGCCCGAGGAAGAAGAGGGGTCGAGAGGGGCTGCCCGCCGGTCGGAGTCCTCAGGAATCATGGGTGGTGGTTGTGGTGGGGAGGGGGGCGGAAGATGCTCGCATTTCTTGGAAAGTCGTAGGAAATGTAACTGCCTCACCTGGGCGTAAAGGAGTTGCGTGCGAACCGCAGCTGTTCGCAGAGAACCACGCGCTGACGCGACAGCTTTTGGTATTCAAGGAAGCGCCCTCTGGGGTCATTTCCTCTGTATATATACATATGAGATAACTAAAATTGCAATGAGAAAAAAAAGGTAGAAGAAAGTAGGAATAAAGGGAAAGAGATAAAGGTATAAATCAGTGGCTTCTGATATCCTTTACAGCAACTCGAAGTGCAATTATGTTTTAGCGTCTCTCTCTAAAGTTACATCGTGGTTTTCTTGTTATGATCTACCTTCCTAATCATAAAAACATAAATCACAAGTTCATTTTTTTATTTTTTATTTTTAACGCAGAAAGTCCATAAGAGGCTTCCTGTCTCTCTCTCTCTCGGATCATTTCCAAATCCCTCCTTGGCTGCCTTTGCACTGAAACTTAATTTTCTGTTTCTGATGGGTTTCTTCCTCCTGGCCTGGTGGAGTATAGCCACTATTACAGAATCTCTTTTAGATGAATCTATTGAAATGAATGGCACCAGGACGTGAAGAGCTCGACAGAACCTCCACTTTTTTGTCAGATAGATGAACAAGACTGTATTAATCTGCATGAAGTAACGCTCTGGATAGCTGAATTGGATATCCAGTTATGAGGTCACTGCCATACCCCCATAGAATTTTACCTATACTTTACCTATAATTACAGGGATTCTGTACAGTATATACTGTATGTTTACTACTCTTCTGTGTTATGTTCTCATACTCTAATAACCATATTAAGAGAAAACTTTGATAAAGTGACTGGTAGTTATTTAAAAGCATAAGAAGTTTGGAATTGGGTTTATTTATAGAGCCAAAAAGATCGGATAAGTCTTGTGTTCAATGGCTGCTTTAAATACTTTTTCCCTTGGTATATTAGTTGACTTGACATAATAGACTAAGCTAAAGCAAATTGTCTTACTGTCTTAGGGTGTGTACGCCCAGCTCTTTCCTTCATAGTATGATTCAACACACTATGTCATAGAATGGCACAGGGACTCTGATTTAATGCATATTTTGAAACTTTTAAAGGTTGTGTTTCACGTTGCAATTTTATTTGATTATGGTTTTAGAGTGCTTTGTCACCTGCAATGAAATTTTATTTGGAACATCGGCTTATAAAGTCTTAGAGGTATGTAAAAATGGCCCAAGAGATTTAATTACACTAACTCACTGAAAATATCCTGTGTACATTTCCTCAAAAATGTAATGACTCCCATGTAACAACATACATTTATATAAATACTAAAACAAGTATTTACAGTATATAAGTAAGCACTAAAGTATTTACTAAATGTTAAAGTAAATACTACGTTTGCCACAATATTGTTTTCTGGGTGCATCCAAGATGCTGGTCATTGTCTCTAAAGCTTTACATAGTATGAGACCTAGCTAATCAGGAATTGCCAGATTTTCATAGTGATTGTCCATCTGGTGCCCTCCCATCAATATTGGTTTGGGTTTCACAAATGAATCTAGTGGACCTTTTCACTACACCTGTTCCTTGGACCTGCATCCCCCAGAAATTCATATGGTCTGTACTTTGCCTGTTCCCGACCATATTTTTTTTTAATTGACTTTTCTTCCATGCTTTGGGATAGGGTAATTGCACAGGGTCTTTTAAATAATGGAGTCATGTGAAAGCATAACATGTTGTCCATTAGATAATGGTTGCTGAGGATTTTGTGCAATTCCTGCATGATAAAGTCACTCGGATTCGGGATGCCTTGGACTCCGATTGGATGAGTCCAGGGGAGGAGACAAGGGCAGGTCTTGAGAATATTATCTGGGAGGAGTTTGATCCTGTGGCTCCCAAGGATGTGGACAGGGTTCTGGGTAAGATTAGTGCCGCCACATGTTTATTGGACCCGTGTCCCTCCTGGTTGGTACTGGCCTCCCGGGAGGTTACACGAGGCTGGCTCCAGGGAATTATAAGTGCTTCTCTGAGTGGGGGTGCCTTTCCTGCGGCCTTGAAAGAGGCGGTAGTGAGGCCCCTCAAGAAGCCTTCCCTGGACCTGGCTGAATTAGCCAACTACCGTCCGGTTTCCAACCTTAGTTTTGTGGCGAAGGTTGTTGAGAGCGTGGTGGCATGACAGCTTCCCCGACACCTGGATGAAGCTATCTATCTGGACCCGTGCCAGTCGGGCTTCAGGCAGGAGTACAGCACAGAAATGACATTGGTCGCATTGGTGGATGATCTCTGGAGGGCTTGGGACAGGGGTTGCTCCTCTGTCCTAGTCCTATTAGATCTCTTAGAGGCTTTTGATACCATCGACCATGGTATCATGCTGCAGCGGTTGAGGGGGTTAGGAATAGGGGGCACCGTTTTGCGGTGGTTCTCCTCCTTCCTCTCCGACCGCTTGCAGTTTGTGTTGGCAGGGGGGCAGAGGTCGACCTCGAAGCACCTCGCGTGGGGAGTGCCGCAAGGGTCGGTCCTCTCGCCCCTTCTGTTCAACATTTATGTGAAGCCGCTGGGTGAGATCATCCGTGGTTTTGGGGTGAAGTGTCATCTGTACGCTGATGATACTCAGCTGTACATCTCCACCCCAGACCACCCCAACGATGCCCTTGATGTGATGTCTCGCTGCCTGGAGGCCGTGCGGGTCTGGATGGGGAGGAACAGGCTCAGACTCAACCCTTTCAAGACCGAGTGGCTGTGGCTTCTGGCATCCCAATATAGTCAGCAGGTGCCATCGCTGACCTTGGGGGTGAATCCTTGCCCCCCACAGAGAGGGCTCGCAATCTGAGCGTCCTCCTGGATACACGGCTGTCTTTAGAAGAGCATATGACGGCCGTGGCCAGGGGGGCCTTTTATCAGGCTCGCCTGATTCGCCAGTTGCAGCCCTTTCTGGACCGGGATGCCTTGCGCACGGTCACTCATGCCATTGTCACCTCCTGGCTGGACTGTTGTAATGCTCTCTACATGGGGCTTCCCTTGAAGAGCACTCAGAGGCTCCAGCTGGTCCAGAATGCGGCCACGCGGGTGGTTATGGGTGCAACTCGTTGTGCCCACGTGACACCCCTCCTGTGCGAGCTGCACTGGCTCCCAGTGGTCTTCCAGGTGTGATTCAAGGTGTTGGTCACTACTTTTAAAGCGCTCCATGGCATAGGACCCGGGTACCTTCGAGACCGACTTCTGCCACCAATAGCCTCCCACCGGCCAGTTCGCTCCCACAGAGAGGGTCTCCTCAGGGTGCCATCAGCCAAGTTATGTTGGCTGGCGACACCCAGGGGGAGGGCCTTCTCTGTGGCAGCCCCAGCCCTGTGGAATGAACTGCCCCCTGAAATTCGTAAGATCTCCGACCTCCTGGTATTTCGCTGTGCACTGAAGACCCTGTTGTTCTGCCAGGCCAGGCTATCAATATAACAATTTTAAATTGGGGTATTTTAAATTTTTGGGGTTTTAAATTCAGCCGAATTTATTTAATAATTTTTAATTTTTAATTGATGTTTGTCTTGTGTTTTTAAATAGGTTGTACACTGCCCTGAGTCCTTCGGGAGAAGGGCAGTATAGAAATAAAATTAATAATAATAAATAAATAAATTTTATATAAGGCTATTTTTTAATATGGCCCAGAGTCATGTTGCAGTTGGTGGTCTAGAAAGGCTAAATAGTGAACATTTAAGCAGTGCTGGAACACAATGATATATATTTGTTAGAGCAGTCCACTCAGGATGCTGTGTCTTTGCTATATTTAGAATCAAGGTTTTACTTTACATAGAATACATTGATGTGAGTTCCACTTCCTTCTGCTACCTAAACAATTTATAACAGACTTGCTCATTGTCTTATTCTTAGTATTTGTGACATTGCCACATTGTGACATAGTGAGTAGCCTCCTGCCCACCAGAAGTTTCCAAAAAGTTAGCCAATTCTTCATGGATGCTACTGGTTGTTTAGAGTAATGCAAAATTCCATACCATTCATTCCCGAGGGTGGAAAAATGGTTGTCTTCTCTCCAGTCCATGTTTTCAGTAACTGTCACATCCATATGCCATTTGCAAAACAACCAACAAATCACAATTTGGTTTGTTGGAATCATAATTAAGCTACCTAGCTATTCAAATATCATTGTTTTTATATGATATTCCCATTGATAGCTGTGAAAGATGCATTATATGTCATGAATTATGCAGTCAACTACTTTTTACAGTGACTATTGTTTTATGTCACAATAGTGAAAAGGGAGACAAGGGGCATTCTTTATTCTACTGTTTTCATATTAGTTGAGTAACCAAAATACTTTCATTTGTCCCTGTTTTATAAAGAGGAAAAAAAAGAGAATCTAAAAAGCTGGCATTTTATTCTGTAGAAGTGCTTTTGGGAAATTTAGACATGTTAAATGTAAAACCCAGTCTATGCTGTTTCAGCTGAAAGCAAAATATCTTAAACTGTTGCATATTAATAGAGAAATTTTATGGAACTGGGAGAAAAAAGGATCCATAGAATTGCTCCTTGAAAGTTTAGGCCAACAAACAAAAGTTGTTTATGAAGATCTGTTTCCTTTGGCCTCTTGAACAACCTTTCTTTTATAGTTTCAAGTAACAATACTAACTGTATATAAGTTGGTACATATTTTCTCATGTTCTATAGGTCCATCCAGTGAGCCAGATGTTCCTATGTATGTATATACATACTTGTTATATAACTATCTTTTTCCCTTTTATAATAAAATAGTGTTAGGAGAATTTTTGTCACAATCAATGCAAAGTCTCTACAGAAAGCCTCATAATCTCCC